TCAAGAATCGTTAATAAATTATAAAACGTCTGTTTGGTATGAAATTGATGAAATTTAGGAAAAAGAAAAAAAAAACGCTAAATTAGATTTTTGTTGAAATTTATGAACTTTGGGAGAATTAGTTTGAACACTTTGTCCCAAGTTTAGAAGTTCACTTGGAATGGAAAGTTTACAGAAAAAAATGATACACCTTACCATATTTTAGATAAAAATTGTATTTTCTTTCATAAGTATTATTATTATTATTATTATTATTATTATTTTTGGCCCAAAGCTTTTATTTTTTTTAAAAGTATTATGGAACTTATAATATATTATTTTATAATTTATAATGCATCATATTTTTATTTTATAAAAAATGAAATGAATTCATGATACAATATCATACTAGTAGAGTTTTTTTTTACGCACCTTKACCAATATTACGGGATAACCAATCCTACAACATTTAGTCCCGAGAAATACATAGAAATTGATAATTCCCTAAGGTAGGTGGTCATCATAGGGTTTGAACTCATTCCCTTTTAATTAACTCTAGTCCCTTTGGACCATAAAATAAATTAAATATGACACAATATTCTTAAATTTCGTGACATATGAAATAAAAGAAAGAGAAAAAATTAATAAATATTATCGAATTGACGTTGTATTGATGTTTTTCATGCCATTACAATTTTTTTTAGTACAATATGTAAGTGGTGGGAATCAAACTCACGACTTTTTAGTTGGAGATATATGTCAATTACCACTAAACTTATRTATTTGGAGATATATGTCAATTTTTTAGTTGCATTTGACATTAATTCCTATGTATTTTCTGGTAATAGATCCCTATCCCTACTTGATGTACTAAGAAAATCTAAATGGAAAATCGATAGAAAGGTCTTAATTAGAAAACTTGATCCACCTACTAAATTTATGAACCAACCAGGTAATTACTCAAATTTGGATGGATTATCGAGTTTATAGCCAAACTCTCGAATGTTTCTCTTGAGTGCTAGTTAACTCTCTTTCCGATTAAAAACCAATATTCCTCTCTAAACCTCAATAATAAGCAAATGATTTAATGAACAAATATCTCTAAAATAATTATAAATCTCTTTATCTTAAAACCCTTTTAACATTTATACATTTGARTTTTAAACTTTTTAGTACAACATGTGGGGTGAGAATCGAACTTTTAACCTTTTGATTGGAAAAATATGTCAATTATGATTGAACTACGCTCGATTTGGCTTGATTTTGAGTTTTAATTTATTCTTGGTTTGAGTTTTAATTTTAAACCACCTATTATGGAGGTAAGATTTGAATTCCAAGATCAATTAACCTATAGTTAGTTAGGAGATTAAAAGCATAAAGAAAAAGAGAAACATAAATATAACAATCAAAATCATTTCATAGAATTAAGAAAATAAATCTATAAAATTTAGCGACTATCAATTAATAGAGACATAAAATTTAGCTACTCGTTATCGAAATCTAAACAATTGCCTTATGCCAAGTTATTGCAAAAATTTCAAAAGTAAAAAAAAAAAGAAAAAGAAAAAGAAATAAAATTGAAAGATGGATCATAATAGATAGAGAATTGAATTTTATGGTTTATAGGTTTATGAGTTTAAAAAATACAAAATATATGATGGTTAAAAAAAATTACACATCTATTAAAAGTTTAGAAACTATTAAACATTTTTTAAAATTCAAGAATTTATTAGCAGATTTCTTTATAATGACGGTTTCTCTAACTCTTTTCTTGCTGCTAAGGTTCATCATCTTTGCTGGTCTAAGTCCGACCATAGAGCTATTGCTCTCGAGCTCCAGCCGCGGTCAACCAAAAGAAGAAATCGAGCCGCCCAACCTTTCCAATTTGAGGAATGTTGGACCGGAAATCCAGATTGTGCCCACATTATTTCTACCGCTGGGAATTGGTCTTCTCCGAAATCGACCCATCTGTTTTTGGACAGTATCCAGGCCTCCTCTAATGCTTTAAGGCAATGGGCCCATCTAACCTTCACACTTTTTTCTTGCAGATAACCCAAAAAAGTAGCCCCTTGTCGAAGCTTATAATCAGCCTCTTCCTCTTGATTTCTCCACTATTCACCTTTCAGAGGATGATCTTGCCTGCCTTCTTGAGTTGGAGGAAATCTATTGGAAGCAGCGGTCTCGTGAGGATTGACTTAAATGGAGGATCGGAACACTAAATAGTTTCACAAGAAAGTCACCTTTCGAAGCTTGCCTGCACATTCTTAACTGTAATGGAAACATCAACAACTGGAAGAACACTAACATTGTACTCGTTCCAAAAGTCAAGAACCTCACAGGCTTTCGTCCTATTAGTCTATGTAAGGTCTCCTATAAGATCATGACCAAAGCTACCACCAACCAGCTTAAAAGGGTTATTGGTTCGGTTACTTCAGAATCACAATAAGCTTTTATCCCTAGTTGGTAGAGCTATCTTCAACAATATCATTATTAGTCATGAATGCCTCGAGTTTATTTGGTAGCATAAATCTAAAGCTCATGGAGGACAGACAGCTTTGAAGCTTGATCTCAGCAAAGCCTTTGACATAGTCGAATGGAACTATTTGGAGCGTATTTTATTGAAGTTTGGGTTTGCTCCTACTTTGGTTTGTCTTATAATTCGGTGCATTTCCTCAGTTTGGTTTTCTATTCTTATTAATGAGGTTCTTAAAGGCTCCGTTGTTCCTACTAGGGGCATCCGCCAAGGCGACCTGCTGTATCCCTATCTTTTCATTGTTTGTGCAGAAGGGCTCTCTTGATGATTCAATAGCCTTAACCGCCTGAATGGTATCACTTTTGGTTCCAGATGCCCTGCCATCTTCYATCTCCTATTTGCTTGATGATAGTTTAATMTTCCTCAATACCACTAAGGTTGAATGTGCTCTTCTTCGAGAAATTTTGGTTGGATATGGGCGAGCTTCGGGCCAATGTATTAATTTCTCCAAATCGGCTCTCCTCTTCTCTCCTAATGTCCATATTGAGYCTTAGAAATTTCTGCAAACTATTTTGGGGGTGCACTTGGTTTCTCATCTTGGTACCTATCTTGGGCTTTCCATAATACTTTTCTCGCAGGAAAGGAGAGGTCTGGAACTTTCTCAAGGATAGGCTTTGGAAATTGGTGCAGGGCTGGAAACAGAATTTATTTTCTGTTGGTGGCAAGGAAGTCATCATCAAAAGCATTGGGCAAGCTATCCCTTCATATGCCATGAGTGTTTTCAGGCTTCCCAAAGGTTTTTGTAATGAGGTTTCTAAAATGTTTGCTAGATTTTGGTGGGGTTCAATTCACTCGATGAGTTAGGATCGCATGTGTCTGCCTAAAGAGCTAGGGAGCTTAAACTTCCAAGACCTTGAAGGTTTTTAACCAAGCTCTTTTGGCTAAGCAAGTAAGTATGGCGAGTCCTCCGAAATCCTAACCTCCTTATCTCTAAATTTCTCAARGCTTGTTACTTCCCCACTTCACATGTGATAGCTACTTCGGTCTCAAGGCGTCATCCAACAATTAACGTGAAACTACCAAGATAACTACATATACTAACAAATCCACCCGAAGGTTACATCACATACCCTTGGCTTCTTTGGTCCCTGACCTTCAGAGCAATTACGCATCTTCACACCCTTACCCACCTTTTGAATCTTAAAGTGTCAGATGTTATCTCACTCTTGAGAATGTGGGACTTGCATAAAATCTCCATATATTTTGAGCATAAGGATAAAGATCTAATTAAGGCTATTCCACCTACCTCTTCTCCCACCCAAGACTTTTGGTTTTGACACTATGATAAACAGRGATCCTACAGTGTAAAAAACGGCTACAAGCTCTYCATGAATCTAAAAAACCCCAGGGTTTCTACCAGCAGGTTCGGGTCACTACTGGCAAAATCTCTAGAGTCTCAAAGTCCCTTCTAAAATTCAGCTCTTTCTATGGAAGGCCTCTCATAATCACCTTCCAAATAATTCTACGTTGTAGAAGAAGAGGTTAGAAGGTTTACCTTTGTGTGCTTTTTGACCATTGAAGTGAGGCTGCGACCCACTCAAATTTCCACTACAAGCGTGCCYGTCACATTTGGCATTGTCTCCTCCCTTCGGTGATCATCCCCTCTAACCCGCACTTGCACTTCAAAGAAATTTGGAATGAGATACTGGTTCACCTTTGTACAGAGGAAAGAGAGCTTGATGCTACCACCTGCTGGGCGATTTGGTTTGGTTGAAACCTCAATCTTTGGACGAAGCACCTCCCTTCCTTGGAGGCTAAATGCGAATGAAGCTATGTAAAGGCTTACCACTCTGCACAGACATCGTGGGGAGCGTTGTTCGCCGTGTGCCTAATGTCAGCCCTTGCCGCTGGATTCCCCCTCCTTTGAGTTCCTCAAATTGAATGTCAATGCGGGATGCAACAACAACCTTGCTTCAACTGACTTCAGTTTACTCCTTAGGAGCTCCAATGGGCAGATTCTTGCAGCTTCTTCAACTTTCCTCCCTGGCTCCCTCTCTTCGTTTCTCGCCGAAATCATAGCTATCTTGGAGGGGGTTACGTCTAGCAATTTCTTTGAATTGCTGTGAATTGCAGGTGGAGTCGGATTGCCTCCCTACTATTAAGCTGATCGATGGAGAAATTTCAATGTTAAGGGATTAATGGAATTAGATTTTGGATGTCAGGAACCTGGCTCTTAAATTTGCTTCTATTTCATTCCATCGTAACCCTGGTTCTTGCAATTTGCCCGCTCACTCTTTAGCTAAATATTATTTTATCTTACGTTGTTTTTTCATATTATTCTAGGATCTTTCCAAGTAGTCCTAGCGGTGGATTCTTTTCATTGATCAACCACTTTTTGACATTTACCATTTACCGATGAGATTAAGAAGGATATAAGTGAAAATTCTTCAAACTTAAAAAGACCAAATTGAAAAACTTTTCCAAATTATGAGGACTAAAGTGAAATACCAAAAAAACATGTTCTGTTTGAGGCGGCCGCAGGACCCGACCCAGACAAAACCGGATCCTTTACCCTACGCCACACGTCGGCGGCCGAGCCCACGGCGGCGACCCCCGTTCTTTCAACCCCTCTTTTATTTTCCCATTTCACCGCAACCACTGCTGCACCACAAAAAAATAAAACTTCGAAGTAAGAACTTTCTTCGAAGTGCTTTCTCTGCAATCATTTTCACTCATATCTCATACCCGTCTGCCATATTCGAGTTCCATTCTCCATTGCGTCAAAATTGCCTTCTCTAATTTGTTCGTCTCAAGAGTACTAGTGAAATGAGTAGCCTCAAGAGTATGCAATATGGAAAATCTTTCATTGGTCATAATGATGCAATTTATGGTTTATACTAATGATTTTACTAGTTTGAAATGCATGGAAATCATTTCCTGTTGAAATTTTGTAGGTTTAGGAAGATTTTTTTGTTGATTACCCAATCGGTTAACACGCAGGGTTGAGGAAGATATTTTGGGAGAGTGAGCTGATCTTTGTTCAGTTTATCTGCAATGGATCATACCATTTTTAAATCTCACTTTAAACTCCATGTAGGTTTGGTTATTTAGCAATATGAAACAATGTTGCCTCAGAAATCATTTGTTCGGAGATTGAATCCTCTGTCCAGTACCTTTATGTTTTCCATCCTTCCTGTTTTTAGTAGACAACTTATAGAGTCTTTTACCACTTTGGAACTGAACTCATTGAGCGCATCACAAGTTTGGCCAGCATATTCGTCGACTTTCCCTTTAGATTCAGCAGACTATGTTAAGCTGGTTCAGTCTGCTACCAAAACTGGGAATTTAATCTATGGCAAGCTTGTTCATGGCCACATGGTTAAAAATTCTTTCAGGCCTTGTCTGTTTTTGGAGAACAATCTTCTTAACATGTACTGCAAATGTGGGGATATACATTCTGCTGACAAACTGTTTGATAAAATGCCAAAACCTAACATTATAACTTACAACTCTTTGATTTCTGGATATATCCAGATGGGCATCCTTGAGAAGGCCATGATTTTGTTTGATCAAGCAAGAAGACATGGTTTGAAACTTGACAAGTTCACTTGTGCAGGCGCTCTTACTGCATGTAGTAAAAATGGGGATCTTTCTGTGGGTAAGATGGTTCATGGGTTAATATTAGTTAGTGGATTAGGCTCCCAAGTTGTTTTGATCAATTCTCTTATTGACATGTATTCAAAATGCGGCCAGGTTGATCATGCAAGGATTTTGTTTGACTATTCTGATAACTTAGATGGCGTTTCTTGGAATTCGTTAATTGCTGGTTATGCACAAAATGGGAAGTATGAGGAGCTGTTGATAATTCTGGAGAAAATGCATCAATCTGGATTGGCTTTGAACACCTATACTCTAGGAAGTGCCCTGAAAGCTTGTAGCTCAAACTTCAATGGTTCAAAACAGTTTGGGACAATGCTACATAGTCTTGCGATCAAACTTGGTTTACATCTGGACGTTGTTGTTGGGACTGCATTGCTTGATATGTATGCAAAAACTGGAAGTTTGGATGATGCCATTCAAATCTTTGACCAAGTGCTGGATAAAAATGTTGTGATGTATAATGCAATGATGGCTGGTTTGCTCCAACAAGAAACAATTGAAGATAAATGTGCGTACAAAGCCCTTGGTCTTTTCTTTGAGATGAAAAGCTGTGGAGTAAAACCGTCCATGTTTACATATTCAAGCTTACTTAAAGCTTGTATTACTGTTGAGGTTTTTGAATTTGCAAAGCAAATTCATGCTTTAATATTCAAGAATGGCCTTCAGTCGGACGAGTACATTGGAAGTGTCCTTATTGATTTTTACTCTTTGTTAGGCTCAATGAAGGATGCTTTATCATGTTTTAACTCAATCCATAATTTAACTATAGTCCCAATGACAGCCATGATTGTTGGTTATCTTCAAAATGGAGAATTTGAAATTGCGTTGGCTTTGTTCTATGAACTTTTGGCATCCGAAGAGAAACCTGATGAGTTCATTTTGTCCACGATCTTGGGTGCTTGTGCAAATATGGGCATGTTAAGATCTGGAGAACAAATCCAGGGGTATGCAACGAAAACAGGCATCTTGAAATTCAAAATCTTCCAGAATTCACAGATTTTCATGTATGCTAAGTCTGGAGATCTATATTCAGCCAACCTAACCTTTCAACAGATGGAAAATCCTGACGTTGTGTCCTGGTCGACAATGATCTGCAGCGCCGCGCAGCATGGGCATGCCATGAAGGCTTTCAGATTCTTTGAGCTGATGAAGAGTTCTGGAATTGAGCCTAACGACTTTGCCTTCCTTGGAGTTCTAATTGCATGTAGTCACAGAGGACTTGTTGAAGAAGGACTGAGGTTGGTCATGATGCTCTACTTTCTTGTTATTCAATACCAAATTTTAGATGCTGGAGGGTTGGTGATAGAAGGATTGGGGCAGGTGTTGTGGAAGCGTAAGCTTAATATTAAATTTGCACTTAGTCCTATAATTTTAAGAAAAATATTTGATATTTGGTTTGACTTTTATTTATTTATTTATTGTTCTCTCTCTTCTGCTCCCTCGAGGCTTAAACAAATAGGGTTTGGAGGTGTAGACTTATGACTCATGCTCCATTTAGTTTTCACATTTGGTTTTTCAAGCAAAAATGCTGGTGCCTTCTTTTAGTCCTGAAATTCAATCCAAATAGCTCTGCTATATTATTATATGGTTCATTTTTCGATCCAAAAAATGTGGAGGGCACTTTAGCTCTCTGCTGTTTTTGAGGGGTCTCTCTTTTACTGTTTCTTAATCCATCCATCTGGCGTTGCTGGTGACAGGTATTTTGATACCATGAAGAAAGATTACAATATGACAAGTCATGTCAAACACTGTGCTTGTGTTGTTGATCTTCTTGGTCGAGCTGGAAGGCTGGTTGATGCAGAAAGTATAATTTTATGTTCGGGTTTTGAGCACGAACCAGTGATGTGGCGAGCTTTACTAAGTGCATGCCTTATTCACAAGGACACATTCACTGCACAACGTGTTGCAGAGAAAGTAATCGAGCTTGAACCTCTAACATCTGCATCTTATGTACTTCTTCACAACATTTATATGGATGCTGGAAACAAGTCAGAGGCCTTGAAAGTCAGGAAATTGATGGAAGCTCGGAGAATTAAGAAGGAACCTGGTCTAAGCTGGATAGAAGTAGGAGATAATGTCTATTCATTTGTTTCTGGCGATCGATCTCACAAAAACAGTGAATTGATATATGCACAGTTGGATGATATGTTGGCAAAGACAAAGAGTCTAGGTTTGGTGAATGACATATTTGATTACAAAATGGAGCACGAGTACATGGCACTGCAAGATATTGTATATGCAGCATCGTGAAGAAAAAACATTAAAGGTCACTGAAGATCTGACCATTTGCAAGTTAGGCATCACTCATACCTCATGAAGGACTAGGGTCGTGAAAGGATCCCGAAGGCCGAGTTATTTAGAACAGCACTTGTGACAGCACCTCTCTTGTCAAGTTTGCTGCCTCTCACACCTTCGACTGCAGCGCTGCCTAGCGTGGCAGCAATCTAGGTCTGCTTATTAACCTCATTATTCTTGACTCTTTTTTCTCTTGATTTTATGATCTTTGGCTACCATCTCTGACTTCAGCTGTTGTTTATTCTTATTTCTTATATTTGCATTTGTTATTAAGTGGTTCAATCAATTGAAATAGCACTTGGATTCAAGTTCTTTTCTACACTAGTGAGTTTGAAACATAAAATGCCATATTTAGCTTGTTGAAAGAGATAAAACCAACATGTATACTGGTTTCTCGTTACTATGTGAACTTTGATTGTGCAGGCTTATTCAGACATAATCTTGGTTTCGCAGGCTCATCGATCGAAGGTGCTCCTCAATTCTTTCTTTTCTCCTCTTCGGACTGGTAAAGATTGAACATCTAGTTTCTGATTTCTCTGTTTCGAAACTGGTTTCAATGATTTATGCTCTATTTATTTCTCCTCTTCGCTTCGAATAGTTATTCTCGTTTGATTTATGCTCTACTAAACATTTAAACTAACAAACTTATTAATGAATATGTATGGATAGGTCTATGTTTGTCTCTTTTAAACTAATAGATCAATTTTGTCTGCCTGATTAAAAACGCGTTTTCACGTCTTTTAAAGTGTTTATAGACGACAAATTGTTTGTGTAAAGGGTGGAAAAGAGTGCTTTTGACTAGTTGAAAGCGCTTTTTTTCCATTTTCCATGAGAAAAAATGGTTAGAAAAATTCTGAAAGATTAAGAGCATTCTTAGACAAAACATTTAGCTAGTTATCTTCCAAAAGTGCTTAAATTATAAGTATTTTGTTTAGACACACTTTTTTCAAAAGGCAGGCCAAACATACATGTGAGAAATTCTGAGCGTGAGGCTGATTACATTTTTAATTTCGAATGTAAACTCAATGTGTTATGCTCCCAATTTTGTAGCGTTCAACTGATTCTGTTGGGGGTAGAAAATTGGGGTCTTCAAAATAACCTTAAATGTGAGGCTGGAAGAAGAGTTGATATTTTAGTGTCTTATTGAAGTGACGATGTCGATATGCTCTTATGTGTATGTTCTAATTCCATAGGTTTAATTGGTTAGATAATCTGTCAGGCCGAGCATTGCTTAAGTGAATAAGATGTCTATTGTCATCTCAAAGTCGATGATTTGATCCTTCATAGACGGACTCATTGAGATAATTACATGTTTTCATTGAATGAGGTTTCAATTTAAAAAAATAAATAAATTGTTTTACATTGGTTGGATTAATATATGATTTTAGTTTGTTAAAATGTTATCACGTAATGTTGCTGTTTTTTTTTTATAATAAATTGAGAGTATGGAGGTTTGAACCCGTGACCTCAAGAGAAGGAGTAGATGTTAAATATTGTTGAACTATGTTCATGTAATGTTGCTGTTAGTTTTTACCGTTATTGCCTACTTGATATCCAATCATTTAATGTCGATTATTATTAATTATTAGGTTGCTGGCTGAAGCTGCATGAGAAAAATGATTCAGATTGGCAAATGTCACAATTCAGGAGCAGATGAATCGAGTTCATCGGAGTCGAGCCTCGATCACTATCGTCGTTTGATGCTCTGATGGAGTTCTGATCTATTGGAAATGAATCAAGATGTAATTTTTTTTACACGTGAAATAAATCATTTTTCTTTTGGGTTGTATGGACAGGACAATTAAACTTTTTTAATAAAAATTTAATTTCATTGATATTTATTATGCTTGTGATAGCTAAAATGGTAAGTATATGGGTGATAATATTTTAATTTTTTTCCTTTGAATATTTTTTTTTCAAATTTTTATAACTATACTTTTAGTGACGTGTAATTAAATATAGCTAAGTCTGACTTTCAGTGACGTTCTTATGTCTTTTGGCATAAATCTAAATCTTCCATGCAGTTTATTTTTTTGATAATGCACTAATTTCATTACTTATTCGAATTTATGGTTCTAATTATTTTTATCAAATTCATGTCATTCTCTCACATATTTCTTCAATATATAAGGCGACTTTCATTTAAGAATAAAAAATACATTTGGTCCATATATTTTCAACAATGTAAAAATTAAGTTACTCTAAAATTGATTACAATTTAGTTCTTACTGTTGAAAATTTAGCTAAAATTTAATACAAGTGTTATGTGATCGTTAGGTGCCAACTAGGATTCACGTGTACAAATTAAAGAGCCATATGTGCGGGTTGATTTGGATCAGTTTACATTTAAACCGGTTTAAGACTTAAAAAGAAGGAAAATTTTCAAATTTAAACTCTTCCTCCCAACTCAAGCTCTATGCCCCTGACTAATTTCTCATCCTTCTGTGTATTTTTATCCTATTTTATCGATTTTAAAGTCACATTCCAATCTTACACTTCTGATAGATGTTATTCCAAAAAATATTTGCATGGATCATTAGGGAATTGAGAGCTTTGTTAAGAAAAAACAGTACCCCGAGTACCACACATATCTCCATAGATATAATCCGCTTTGAGCATAGCCCTCACGACTTTGCTTTTGGTTTCACCCAAAAGGTCTAAAGGCTTCAAAATCTCATAATTGTCCTCTCTTATATACCATGACCACCTCCTTCCCTAACTAAATCTGAAAATTTGTTTGCATTCACCTTACAAACCAACAAGTTTTACAAAATTGAAATTATTGTACATTAGAATACCACTAAAATAGTGGTAGAATTAAGATGCAATCACCAGAGCTATGGAAAAACGTACAAAATCCAAAGAAAAAAGAATATACAACTTTAGATAAACGGAGGAAATGAGAAATCCAAGTCGCACCACCTGAAATAGGCCAAGATTCTTTGAAAAATATAAAACCCAAATGAAGATGAGATTGATAACTGGGAAGAGAAGGGAAACTTTTGGAAGAGAAGGTGTTGGGAAAACTGCCTACCAAAATTATTTTAACACAATCAACCACAATAATAAATGATATAGGAAAAGCGCAATAAACGACACTAAGTAAATTTATACTCGTCCACTTCAATTATGGACTACATCCAAGTTTCCTGTGACAACGAGTTTTGCTATGATTATGGGATAAATACAATGGACAATACGATCTCTCAAATCTAGAGACGTCCACAAAAGCTACCTAGCTTCGATGAACTATAACAATAGAATCCTAAGAATACAAGAATGAAAAACTTCACCAAATACACATGAGAATTGGTTGCCGAAGATACACTATAACCCCAGGATCTCACCTCTATATCTCTGTCAAACATTGCCTCCCTTGATTTTCGTGCACCAACATGTTTTGGCCGTCCCTCAACGTGCAACAACACAATGCTAAAAGAAACCTAAAGAAAATGAAGTATTTAAAGAAATACGTTGCTGCTCGAAGCGACTCAACACTATGACCCCAAAAGCATCACCTAGCCAATTTGTGCGCCTTTGTGTGTCGACAAATTGTGGCAGCGTTGAGATGCTACAACTAGCGTCATCTCAACATTGTCCTAGCTCGGATGGGCCCCAATGTGGTCAAATATTGTTTACAGGTACTGAATGGCTGGGTCTCTCTACAGGCTCTAAATGAGATGCTTATCACTTTGATTCCGAAGATTAAACACCCTTGCCATCCTTCAGACTTTCGACCTATAGTAAATAAGATGAAGCATATTTTGAATGTTATTATTTCCCTGATTCTTGGTTGTTGTGTTATGGATAATGCATCTTGGGCTATGAGTGCATTCATTTACTGTGCAAAAAAAAAAAAAAAAACGTCTGGTTGATCAGGGTGGGCCATGCTGAAATTCGATATAAGTAAAGTGTATGATCGGGTCGAATGTGCTTTCTTGAGCGCATTACGTTGAAATTGGATTTTGATTCGGAATGGGTGACCTTGTTATGCTGTGTTCCTTCAAAGGTTTTTTTTTTCAAAGTTAATGGTGAATGAGCGAGTTTTGTTCAGCTGAACCCTGGTTTATGCCAGGGTGATCTCCTTTTACCATATATTTTTTTACTTTGTGCATAGGGGTTTATCCAGTTTGTTATCGAGGCTGAACTGAGACCATGCATTTTAAGTTTTACCTTATCCCAGCGTCGCACTTCAACTTCTCATTTGGTTTTCGCTGATGATAGTTTGTTGTTTTTTAAGGTTTCTTGCGGCTGAGAGTCAGACGATCTTGGACCTTCTTCATTTATATATGAGGACTTCGAGTCAAACGTTTAATTTTGACAAGTCAATGATATATTTCAGTAAGAGTACTCTTGATAGGTTACAAAGTTTTCTCAGTTCTTTACTCCAAGTCAAAAGCGAGGTCTCCCACCATTAGTATCTCGGGCTTCCCACATTTATGCCTTTGAACTAGCAAGGGCACTTGCGCTTTGTTAAGGATCGAATTTGGAAGCAACTTTAGGGGTGGAAAGGGAAGTTGGTTTCGATGGGTGGTAAGGAGATGCATATTAAATTTGTGATAAAGATATCCCATGTTAGATAATAAACTGCTTTTTTGTAGTCTACTAAAAGGACTCATTCATGATATTCATATGGCCCAATTTTGATGGGGGTGAGGTGGAGACAGATTGCAGGATACATTAGGTTAGCTGTAAATGTATGTGTCTCCCAAAGTGTTTTAGGGACTAGGCTTTAGAGATCGAGAGCATTTTAATCGTGCTCTGCTTGCTAACAAAGGCTAAAGGGATTTCCCTCACTGCTCAAGTTCTGAAGTACAAATATTTTAAGAAGCGTGGTTATTTTGAAGTCAAGTTGGGTTCGAATGCCTCATTTATTTGGAGTAGCTTCTTTGGGGTTAGGACATACTTCATTATGGGCTCCATTGGTGCGTGGGTACTAGCGAGGGCGTCCTGATTGTTTATTCAATCTTGGCACTTGCTTATAAATTCAGTTGGTGAATTCAATTCCCTAGACCCTTTTTATCATAGATTTTTCCTTGATTTTATTACTTACATTGTTTTTCTCAATTGATTTAAAACCCATTGTTATTTCTCTAAATAAAAATAGACATTAGTATTTATAGTATTTGAGTGGGCTAGAAACTCATTCTAGTAGACGATATTAGTATTAACTTATCATTTTTATTAAAATTTTGACCCAGTACACTTACGGTAAGCAATTTATTTTTAAGAATATATTATTTTATTGTTTTTTTTTTGCAAAATTATGCCTTCAAAAGTTAGAAGCACTTGACGAAAAGAGACTTGATGCGCAAACAAACATTAGAATGCTATCAGGCTTGAATGACTAAAGCCTTCAATAAAAATGTTCGGCCATCGGTTATTTCAGGTTGGTGATATGGTGCTTGCTGTTCGAAGACCTATCATCACGACACATCATGTTTATGCAAAGAATTGCACAACGGTGTTTGCGAACCTAGTTCGAACCCAGTCTCCAACTCGACCTGAACCGAGGAGTGAACCTGCACAAGAGGGCAAACTCTCCGACAATCAAGTCAGTATAGGTCGGACTCAATATTAAGTTCGAGGTGAGATTCGATACCTGAGTGTGAAATGAGGCCCTCTATTTATAGGTGGTGAGTCCGACAGCACTTACTACCGACGGTTACCCCTATCTTTACCATGTTGAACCTGTCGGGGTCGAGCAGCTCGAACCCCTTCAGATCGAACCCTGGACTTTACACTTAGCCTTTCATATGGATAGATTGGGTCTCCTCGGCAGGTTCGAGGTGGACCTGGAATATTCGTTTTTTTTTCCTAAACACCACTGAGCGTCTTTCACTTGTCCACGATATTTTTATCCCCAAACATTGGCCCCTCTCTGTCAGGTTCGATCTCGATCTGGCAAAGAAGTTACTTGATTCAAATTAGGACACGTGGCGACTTCTTATTCGTAGAGTAAATATAACCATTGTGGAGGTGGAAGATGTTTCGATCTGCCAGGCTGTCGGAGCACTTGAGTATTCCGACGCTTCGAATTTCGAGATGATCTCAGCCGCTTGTTCATTACACGTGTACAATGTAGAGACTTTTCCGATTAGCTATAAATAGTCCTGAGACTTCAGGTCAAACCTTATGCTTCCTGAATTTTTGGAGTTCGATCTGAAATCAGCTCAAACCCTCCGTAGGTGAGTCACTCTCCATGTTTTAATCTTTATTTCGAATATGGTAGTTTTCATGTCTTCCAGTAGCGATAGTCTAGGTAGCACAGGTCGGACTATAAGCAGTTCACCCCCTAAGCCAAGTAACTCTAGGGAGGACTTGGATCTTAGGTTAGAGTCTGAGCTTGAAGAGATAGAGAATTTTAGGTTTTCGGATGACGGGGAAGATAGTGATACTTCCACCTCGGGCCAGAGTTTGGAATACCCTTCAAAAATGCCCGAGCACTATCTCGGACCCCGCCGTAGGGAGTTCAGTATTCCGGATGATATCATCCTTAGGATTCCGGAGGAAGGGAAAAGAGCTGACAACTCTCCAGAAAGGTGGGTCACTCTTTACTTAAAAATGTTTGAGTACAGCCTCAGATTTCCCCTTCACCTTCTTGTCCAAAAGTTTCTAAATCGATTTGGTCTAGCCCCTACTCAAGTGGCCCCCAATGGTTGGGGTGTCATTTTTGCTTTAGCCATCATTTTCTATTTACGAGCTCGAGAAGATGACAGGGTCGAGTTGCTTGACGTTGACCAGCTTCTAGCGTGCTTCGAAGCCAAAATGATAGCTAAGAAGCCAGGTCG